TTTGAAACGCCATCAAAAACGTCGAGCGCGAATCCAGCATCGTCTCATTCAAGAATTGAAAAATAATGCAAAAACTTTTCGTATTTTTCTCGCATTACAAATTTGTTTTGTACGTTAAAATACTGTTAGTATATAGTAAAAGTATCGTAGATTTTATTTCCGTGATTATTTTAGCGTAGTTGTAAAAATATTTGAAGTATTTTGGATTGTTTGAAAGTATATGTATCGTTAGTTTGATTGCATTTGCCTACCTTAGGAAATAATACAACTATACAATGCCTCGCCCGCGCGCAGGCAGGCAACCATAACATTGGGCTGCCTATGGTCCCACCACCAAAAATTCAAATACAAAACATCACACTTCGATGATATATGGGGGGTGGACCTCTGTTATATTAAGGGCGGTTCGGTGCGCTCAATGTGTAACTGGAGTATCATGTAAATCCAGTGAACTGAACTAGCGAGGCCCCTACGCGGAAATTTGCTGAATATATTTATAATTTTATAATTTGTCAGGCGATCATTTTTTAAGTTTGGCTTATCAAGTGGTCTTTCAGAGCAAATTTTAGGAACACTTTATCAAAAAAGCAAAGTTATTTGACGAGTACAAATTTTTCCAAATCCCGCGTAGAAACACCAACTATGAACTATCTATGTTTTGGACTAAACATCGAATACTATAGACTGCACTTGCATCAATCCTTCCTTTAGTTTTTAAGTGGGGTATTTGCCACTAAAAAAGAGTGTACAAAAATTGAAAAACATTGATTGGAAAACCTCACAAAATTCACGCGTGTTTCAGTATACCTAAAAGAGTACACTCTTTTGCCTCGATCTTGGCTTCACCCAATTTATAGTATTTATATTAAATTTGATCACTGATACGACGTCGCCACAACGGCGTCAGAACGACGTCGAAACAACGTCGTTTTTGCGACGTCGATAACTCGTTATCAGAGCGACGTCGAAACAACGTTGATTATACGACGTCCATAATTCGTCGTGAAGGTGACGTCGAAACGACGTCGATATTTAGTCGATCGACGTGTCGACTTCATTTCGACGAAATTTCGACGTCGAAACGACGTCGTGTGCCGGCTGGGAAGGCTCTAATCCATGCTGTTTTGCGTGACCATCGGGTAAAACTTGATAAGTGTGTGTATTGGCCGGTATGTGTCATCTTACGAAAAATAATTATGTCCGAGGTATTGATCTTTAGGTCGAGAAATTGCATATTGTTGTCAGGAAAATCTTCGAAGGTAAACTGGATTTGAGGGTGAAATGAGTTGAACGTTTGTATTATTTTCGGGATATCAGAAGTTTTAGCGAGGACTAAAGTACCATCAACATAGCGGGCGTAAAATTTGATAATGTTCGAGTCGATTAATTGGCGTACAATTTCATCTAGTCGAAGTTAGTCATGATGATGTTAGCAAGGGTAGGGCCAAGTGGAGAACCCTTGGCTACGCCGCCGACTTGTTTAAAGAGTTCGCCGTTTATCGAGAAGGGAGTCTTGGTGAAACAGTCAAGCAGTAGTTTCTTCAACGTTCGTTTCTTTAGGGTTGTGTTAAGTTGTTTCTTGTTGTAAATTCTATCAAGAATTAAATTGATGGTTTTCTTAAGGGGCACATTCAACCCAACCAGCCAACCAGCCCGAGCACATGGCCTTCCCAAAACCCATAAGGACTTTGATAAATTACCACCTTTCCGTCCCGTCCTTGACACCACTGGCACTGCCTACCAACCGATTGCCAAATACCTCGCTGGACTACTCAATCCTCTAACCACGAACGTCCACACATTAAAAGACAGCTTTGAAGCAGCCTTTCGCATCCGAAACATACCAGAAAACCTATTCAGAGACGGGTATAGATTTGTTTCGTTCGACGTTAAGTCCCTATTTACGAATGTGCCCCTTAAGAAAACCATAATTTTTTTAATTCTAGATAGAATTTACAACAAGAAACAACTTAACACAACCCTAAAGAAACGAACGTTGAAGAAACTACTGCTTGACTGTTGCACCAAGACTCCCTTCTCGATAAACGGCGAACTCTTTAAACAAGTCGACGGCGTAGCCATTGGTTCTCCACTTGGCCCTACCCTTGCTAACATCATCATGACTAACTTCGAAGATGAAATTTTACGCCAATTAATCGACTCGAACATTATCAAATTTTACGCCCGCTATGTTGATGGTACTTTAGTCCTCGCTAAAACTTCTGAAATCCCGAAAATAATACAAACGTTCAACTCATTTCACCCTCAAATCCAGTTTACCTTCGAAGATTTTCCTGACAACAATGTGCAATTTCTCGACCTAAAGATCTCGACCTAAAGATCAATACCTCGGACATAACTATTTTTCGTAAGATGACACATGCCGGCCAATACACACACTTATCAAGTTTTACCCCATGGTCACGCAAAACAGCATGGATTAGAGCCTTAGTGAACCGCGCATATAAAATTTGCAGCAATCCACAGCTACTGCATACTGAACTCAAGGCCATCAAAGAATTTATGTCCTGGAACGGTTTCTCTCATAACCTTGCTAATAAGCTAATTAAATCCTTTACATAATAACACCACGCACGTCGACCAAGCAGTTAGTACTACCTCAGACAACCTTCCCAAGATATGAATAAGACTACCGTTCATTGGCAATTATGGCAACACCTTGACAAAGAAGTTTATGAGTAAAACACGCCGTTTGCTAAAGAGTCCGTGTAAGTTTATTTTGAACTGGCGAACCACGAACTCGAATATAGTATAGCTAATGAATGTATGCCAAGATGGCGGCGGCCAATATTAAGAGTTGTGGTTTACTTGATTTAAAGGCGTCGAAACATGGCGAAGAAAGGGGTGAAAAGTTTTGGAATACTTCGGTTTCTGAGATGAAATTTACAGTGGAGCAAGAGTGGATGAAAGCTGTTCGAAAAGCAAAACATAAACCAAATTACGGCATGCTTAACATGGATGACCAGCTCGAAGAAATAATCGGCAATAAACTAGAATTGGTAGGCCCGATTATCGACTGTTATTTACGTGAAATCGGTAAAAGTTTACAGTCTAAGCTGAAGAGATCTAAAGCTACTGGCCTTGTAAATCCTGTGTCCTTGTTTATCCCTTGGGCGAATTTTCGACACATACTAACCTTGTGTCGTGGTTATTCGGGTGAGATTATCTCAAGTCGTGATGGCGCAAAACATATGGTAACTTTTTCTCAAATGCGATCAATAAAAAAGCTTTTCTCGCCTGCTCGTTTCTCTGGTGAAACCTGGTTTGCTACAAGGCATTTTAAAAAGATTCCTTCAATGACAGGGAGAAAAAGAGAATCTGTCTACAATGGAAAATCAGTGATAGTTGTTTCAAAATCTACACCATTTTGTATTGATTACAGCATGAAGTCCCAGAAAGTCAACGTTTCATTTTATATTCAAAGATACACAGGTGATAATTATGCGTTGGATTCGGGTCTCCAGGCACTTATGAATATAAGTTCCAGTTAAATTAGGAAGCACTGATCACAAGACATGATTAAATATGTTGGCGAAAAAGTTTATATTTCAAGAATGTAGATCTCAATATATTAAAGTTCAGGTGAAACTTGAAAAAGGTTAACACCTTAGTCAGTTGATGCACAATTTTGCTCAATATTTGCCAATTTTCATCTGAACCTTTTGGGCATAGAGCATGAAGCATAGCACATTATGCAACCCTCGAAATTCAACTATTTTTGCCTCTGCAAAATCAACGACTTTATAATTATTGCCGAGGCAGGTAAGACTGTTCCCAAGATGCCTTGGCAATTGCCTAGTGCCGAGGCGAATTTCGAGGGTTGTTATGTGTCCTACTTATTTAACTTATTCTGTTTACCTCAAAAGTTGTTACTGTACTATCATTCTTGATCAGCGCAATAGTAGGGTGGTACTTTTCATAAGGTATGCTAACTGAATAATCGAACTCATTTATCTTGTATGCTACATTGATATTACTGTTTATGTTATATTTTGTAATGTTTTGTTGTGCATACATTCCTTTTAATACCTGGACAATGTATTAAAGATTCTGGCAATATTGATGTAAAATGGATTGAACAATGTTGTGCTGGTCAACATTGTTCACAGTTGTTAACAATTCTGTTTCACCTGATTCAGGCTCAACAATATTGTCCAATATTATTGACAACTGTGAACGATGCATGTGGCAGCAAACATTGAGCAATCCTGTTAATAAGCGGGCTCACACTTTGTATGCATTACAGACCTCAATAGAGACACTTATTGAGAGTAAAATAAACGGCTAGTACTTCCTGTATATAATTATGCCCTGAGAAGGGGTAGGGTAGGTGTTGGGATAGGGGCACAGAATAACGTACACAGAAGGCCGACTTCTTTGTTTTTCCTATGATTTTGGTGTAATTCGTCATCAAATGCTGACGCCATGGTCCTAGCCAGTGCGCGTTCACCCCAGATATTATTCAAAATGGGCGGACGTCCAGGGGGGAATGCCTCTCAAACCCGCACTGGCTAGGACATGGCGTCAGCATTTTGATGATGAATCATGGCGTGGCAGCGGTTTACTCGAGTCGACCTTCTGTGTGCATTATTCTGTGATAGGGGTAAGCCCCATCTTGAGACAAAATAATAGGCATACATGAAGTACTTGTTCTAAAGAAACACCACTGACCAGTGATATAATTTATAGCAATAAATGTATTAAATAACATATATATATATACATTCTTTATAAATAATAAAATATCGATCATATATAAAAATATTCCATGGCTTCATATAATACAATAAATAGAATATTGTCACAAGTTTAAAAATGCAAATAACCCAAAGGGTAATAAAACAATTTACCAAATACACCTCAAGTCTCGATTAACATGCCACACACTCACTGGCTCAGCGCAGAAGCTGGATAAGTTTACTTAACGTTTTTCTCTACCCATAAAGAACTTTCAAATCTCTTAATTAAGATGTCCTTTTTTCCACTTGTCCCAATATTTCTTTTTTTAAGTTCTGTTTTCAGCTCAGAAACACTCATTTCCTTTGGGTTCTTACCACTCCACAATGCCACAGCTCCATCCCCATGTAGCATGTCATGTGACTGTAAATCAACTTGATCTCCAAAGCGTTGGCCACATTTAGAGCAAATATATGGCTTGAAAATCTCCTCAAGATTAGCAGATAGCTTGTGATTTTGTGCTGACTCTACAATATCGTGACATTGGAGACAAGTATGGCAGAAATCACAATCAACTGGCTTAAGCCTGCCACAGTCACAGGCTCCTTCGGAATCACAATGAGGTGGGATTCTTGATTTGAAATGCGACTTATATGATTGTGGTAGCGGTTGGTGCTCAGGAAGATAGACATTGCGAACATAATTAGCACGCATTACCTGCCACCACTTTCCATTTTTCTCAGCATTGTTGGACCTAAAATACATGAATATTGCAATATGTATTAATGTATGGAAAATTACACATTTGAAGCATTCTCGTACCCAGAGCCCTTCTTACGCGCGGTGCGACGGGGGGCTCTGGCCAAATCCATAACCGGATACCATAAAAACATGGTAAGAAAACAATATCCGCTGTTAGAACTAGCCAATCAGATGCCAGTTCGGATTATGGATTTGGCCAGAGCCCCTCATCGCACCACACGTAAGAAGGGCTCTGGGTACGAGATGACATTTGAAGCAAAATTGAATTGTTTGACCTGTTGCTCAGTTCCAAGTCCTTCTTCACAGCAGAGTGCTTGGCTTCCTTCCCCTGTTGCGAGATAATGCCATAGCCAACTCCGTACGTATCATACAGTTTTAATGCATGGTATGGCAGTGCATAACCAACAGTCCAACTGGTCACATTAATATGCCTTGGGAAGAATAAACAAAGGAGGTTGAAGTACAGTTTGCAATTCTCATCAAGTTCTAACAACTCCGGTTTTGTTGACGAGACTTTGTTGAAAGTTGCACAAGCATTTCGCAGGTACAACATGATTCTGCTCAGTGATAAACGCTTGACCTTTTGCACAGCTGATTCATCAGGGAATTCCAGGCTGTCAACCAATCGATAACCATATCGGGCAATTGCAATCGCTTGTTCTCCAATTATTCTGGTAGGAATCTTGTTGAACCTTTTCTTTTCGTCATCAAAATGGGCTTTGATGGATGGCACAAGGAACTGCAAACCACAACCAAAAACTTGTTCTTTGTGTCTCTCGATTACAGGCTCGGCAGCAGAGGAAGGACTGGGAGGGTCCCCTAACACTTTGATAAACTGATCAAACATCTTTCGTTGCACAGATTCTTGATAAACAATGTTGAGTACTTGCTGCCATGAATTAATCTCGCAATGAAGAGGTTCCGGTCTTTGCTTGTCAGCAAAAACTCCAATTCTGGGAGGTCCAAGTTGCCGAATCCCATTATCTGCCATGAACTGGAGCTTCTTGTCGTGTTGGGTTTTCTCAGACACATTCTTCATTGATTGTTCAAAATTTTGAACCATCTTTGCATGCTTTTTCCTGTCTGAATTGGTGTATGGTTTCCATGTATCATTAGGATCATATCCAATGGTACCACCCATGGTACAAATATTACCTAAAGCGATAGTAGTTCTGAATTGTTAATGCCAGTTCACACAGGGGGTTTTTTACTTTGATTTTAAAGTCGTTTTTCTTGCTGATGGATGTGAGCGAGTGGATGTGTGCATCGGCTCCGCTGTAACATGGATGTCTATATGTAACTTACTCAACAAAAGGCCAAGTGAACATTCATAACTCATCCATTCGTTCACATCCGTCAAAAGAAGAACATTGGAACCAACATACACTTTTTAAAGGCACAGTTCAGCCTTTTGAAAGATCTATGGTTTTTAAGGAGCATTGAACATTACCACCCCCTCCCCCCCCCGGCAATACCCCCAGGATTTGTATTTTTTTTGCAAGAATGTAGTAAATTCCCCACCCCCGGGACTTTAAAGCTTGACAATTCCCCACCCCGGGGCATCGCTAAAAAACTAAAAATATAAGAAATATCAATAAGCAGTTTATAACACATATTTTTAATATCCTTTGTATAAACATATGTAAAATTTGAAAAGTGCGTTTATATATACCGATTAAATACTTGGTATTATAAACTATAGTCACTATAACACGATTATATAAACAACTGCCAAACACGAGGTAGTCGCCATTTTGAAAACTTTTGGACGGTGCTCACTGAACTATATATGTGTCACTGGATGCGCTGCCGCTAGATATGTGGTCCTGGATACGAGTTTTGCTTTTTACCCCGGAGAAACCTCCGGGACAAAATTTTCTAACAATTCCCCACTCCCAGGATTAAAGTTTCTGCATTATCCCGGGGTTTCCCCGGGGGGGGGGGATGGTAACAACAAGAATTTATCCATGCATTAACCCATTGAGTCGCATTGCACCCTGATGCACCCTTCTTTAGTATTTTACTCTGTCTAACGCCAGACGATTTTACTCGTCAAGGGGAGAGCGCTGGCGCTTAATGGGTTAATTTAAATAGTAACTAAGTCAAGAAAATCAAGTAAGCATAATTAATGATCAGTGTACTCAAGTTAGCATTAAATATGTTAAGAACTATTAGAAACAATAAAATCATTGATATTGAATTACATGTATGCTTAACTGATTTTCCTTGTTTTTCAACTAATATAAATGGACTGAACTGTGCCTTTAAAAGTCCGCATGTAAACAGACCTGCCATTGCATACGATTACGTACATTTTAAATGTGCTATATTATGAAATATGATAGTTCATGTGTAGTATCATTTTGCTAGCTTTGCATTAGATGAGGTTTGAGTTTCTGATTTTCCAGAGTAAATTAATAAAATAGAGTGCATTGCCACTTAATGGGTGAACAGGGTGTATGGGCAGATATAGTCTGATTAACCCATTCAGAGGCAACACTCTCTCCCTGACGAGTAAATTTGTCTGGCGTCAGACAGAGTAACATTGATATTAAAGTAGGGCACATCTGGGCACAGTGCCACTAAAAGGGTTAATTAATGTTTCAGTGGAAAATTTTGTGAAAAAAAGCAAACATCTGAACCTAAATAGTTAAAAATTCTCATACCTGAGTGCACATTGGCATACGGCGAGGGATAGGTAGCAGCTTGATTTACTTCAGCATTTGCCCAGCTCTGCCAACACATGTCGGCACTCGGTTGAAATTCGACTGTACATTTCTCTCCAGAAATTGTGAGGATATTACCTTCTAGCATGGCCATTTCATCAGAGTGTTGCTTCCACAGTTCGTCTAGTACGTCATGTTTTTCTGGCAAGCTGACACAGTGTAAGAGGTATTGAAAGTCAGAGCTCCTTACTCTTTCTCCCAAGTTCCATGTGGTCAAACTACCAATAGACATTGTCAATTGGCTTGTTTCTGGCGCTCCGTCATCTGAGAATTGAACAATGAAGTGATTCTCCAACTCATTATACCAAACAAGTTTTCTACGTAGGTGAAGAACCCTTAAGTGTAGGTCAATTATCATAAAAACTAGTCCAGTGACAGTTCTGGATACTCCATTAACATCTTGCAGTTGTGTGACATCTCCAATGTCTAAGCTCTTTACAAACTTATCAACCGCAGAATTCGACACTGACTTTGGAAGTCTTAGATCAGTCCCCATACAAATGGCATTACGTGGAAGCCATGTTTCAGACTCTGCGTTAAAGTATGACGACTGTGTCTTACACACTAGCGCAAATTTCCTGCGTGATAGATGATTCTGGTATTTTGTTGCTATAGCTTGTTGTAAAGCTTCAGTCGACATCTGGTATTCAGTTATGGCATTGTTGAAAATTTTCTTCAGATGATTGCCTTTCCGATATGCAACTAACAACTCAGTTACCAGTTCTATTGGTGCATTGCCCACAATATAATCCCATGCACCAAAGTATGACCCACTCTCACCTCCATGAATAAATATGAGTGCTTTTTCCGATTCTTTTCGTCTTCTGTAATGAGTGCTTGAAGATGGATCACTTATCATCGCCTTAGTCGTGCTGTTGTTCTCTCGTTTGGATTTTGAGAATTGTTTACTATCCAATCCAAGTGCAGAAAACATACTCTTAAGCTGTTCCAACTGTCTTGTTTGAGCTGATACCTTGTCTTCTAGTGTCTTTACCAGTGCGTCAGAATTTTGCAAACCAGTTCTTAGTTCCAAGATATAATTATCTGAAAAGTTAATTCCCAAGTGAATTTTACCGGCAAGTAATTTCGCTTAAATTTTATTAAGTTTAGGCAAAACAACAAGCAGAATATGGAACATACTGGGGGACAAGGGCTTTTATAATACTTATTTAATATATATTAAATACTGTATAACATTTGGTATATAAATTCTATTATTATTCTTAGAATTTATTATTAATACTAGACTAATATCAGTCTGTAATCTTACCTTTTTCTCTTAACTCGTATTGAGTCTGTTCCTGGCAATGTAACAGCAAATTTTCCCGTTCAACTAATTGAGATTCCTTTGCCTTCACTTTTTGATGAAAACCATGCTGCTCTACGAGTAATTTCCTTTTCCTTTCGTTAAGTTTGTAGGATGCAGACGTCTCCCAGAAAGGATTCACTGATTTCTCAGTATTACAGCGACCTTTGTGTCCTGCAGACTTCGAACACTTGCGACTTTTTTTGCACTGTTCGCCGTCATCTTCAACCAAACGTTTAGACGCCATACTTATTTTGACACTGCCAAAGTGACTTCATTTTTGCTTTTGCCATAGGTTTCCACATCGCCAACAGCTAGTAAAATCGCTAATTTTCGGTAAAATACACTTAAATTTATGACATTGCCTTGAAAATACTCCAACGGAACATATTTGCAAAGAGATATCGACGGAAAAAGAACGAAATTTAGCTAAAACATTGAATTTCGCGAGATATCTTGTTTGTTTATCAATATTGTGGGGGGGTCGCAAAGTAAAATATGAGGCCAATAACAACCACAACCCTCCCGACCCACAACCATGCTGTTTGGTCTCAAATCCAGACCTCTGGAAATCATTTTGCGCTTAAAAATGTGCTCCATATTTTCTCCCGAGAGAGCGTAAACTGAACATAGTCTTACTCGATCATCGATTAAATAAAAAAATAAAGGGTTAAATTTCAAAATAGCCATGGTAAAAACTTGATAAATATATTTTAAACGTTTTAAAAATCGTTTAAAAGTTGTGGAAATTGGGGCGGTAAAAAATTAATTCAGGCGCGCGTGGATTTTATCACGTGACCTACTGCATCGCAATGGGAGATTTTTGGAACGTTTTGACCAACGTGATAGCTGTATTTATAATCTTACACTAATCATGAATTCGAAGATGACTACAATCTAGTCGAAACGTAGATTCAATAAATCAAAACAAAATGTTATTCGGAGTTACTGTTCTTTTGAGTAAGTATTTATATCGCAAATCAGTGAACTACATTATAAAATACGCACTGATCTAATCACAAGTATTGAGAATGTAATTGAATCTGTCTTTGTCGAAATTATAACAACTGTTGGTAAAAACATCATAATAGGTGTAATATATAGGCCACCAAATAATCATTTTGACTCATTCGAAACTGAAATGAATCAATGCTATCTAATGGGGGATTTTAAATAATATTCATCTATTTAAATCAGAATCTTGTGATTATTTCTATGTTCGCGTTGTGTACTAAGGTGAATATGATATTTGTGATGTTACTCTGAGTGCATATTCACACCGGTTAGGCTTGAAAAATATGCCCGGCCACGGTTGGAATCGAACCTACGACCTTTGGAATACTAGCCCAATGCTCTGCCACTACAGAGCTACACGGTCAGGACGGGTCGAGTAAGTGATATTTCGGAACAGAATCTAGTTCCTTCGATACCAATGTAATCTAGTAATATAATTTTTTCTGTGTTGGTGTTGTGTAGTCAGGTGAATATGATATCAAAGTTCTCACCATCACCATATATGTCCAATATAGCCATCGGTTGTCAGGTGGTGAAGATGGTTGTAAGATGGTGTCAGATGCTTTGTTTGTCAGACGCTTGTAGTTTGGTGTCGGATGGTGTCGGATGGTTCAGCTGAACAGCTGTTGTCAGGTGGTGAAGATGGTGTAAGATGGTGAAGATGGTTTAATGGGGGGTGTTAATTTTTAACCTGCTTAATTGTGTAAATATAGTGTTGCCTCGTTCTTTCGAAACCACGTATATATCAATAAAACCTACCAGACCAACGACAAAAGCGTTATGGATAATATAATTGTGCATATATAGTGTTGCCTCGTTCTTTCAAAACCACGTATATATCAATAAAACCTACAAGACCAACGACAAAAGCGTTATGTAAGAGTTAATTACCGAGAACTAGGTTTCTTAGCGAGATACAACCCGAGGGCCGTAGGCCCGAGGGATGCTTTCTGAGGGCAACGCTCCCGAGGGATGTATCTCGCTAAGAAACCGACGTTCGAGGTAATTAACTGACTTAGTTCAAATTTGTAACGATTGAAAAACAATTAAATCTACTTTTTTGTTGAAAATACTTGCATTGAATTAAGAGAATAACGGTTGTTACCATGGGATCCATATGAAAATGAGATTGAAACGTGAACTACCTATGTAGCGACGAAGAAAATGCTTCCAGGCAACCGGAATCAGATGAAAATTAGGCTTATGGAAAGAGAATTTTTGCAAGCAAATGACGAACCATTGGGATTTGCAGTGCTCAAACTAGACAGAGATAAACAAAGAGTTTTGAAACACGCCTATTGAGCGTATACCGAATATACTGTAGGCACAAGACCTAACACCATCTGGGCAGTTCGATCGTATTTGGAAAGAGTGGGCCGAAGGTAGAAGCGCTATAACGAACAATATTATGGGTTTGTCGAAGCAAAGATTCTAAATTTGTTTTCAACAGGGTTTTATTTGGGTAAGAATCTAAAAGCAAGTGGAGGGAATTTGATATCTTTATAGGGAAAAGGGGGGTTGATGAATATAATTCAATTGAATTGATGATTAAATATTCACGGGCTTTTATCTAAGTATATAAAACCTGATTTATGCGGGTTTTATATATATATAACCCGCAAAAATCCGGGTTTTATATAGATAAAACCCGGTGTATATTTAATCATCAATCCAATTCAATTCAATTCTATTCATCAACCCCGCTTTTCCCTGGAGAGATATCAAATCCCTCCCCTTGCTTTCAGAATCTTACCCAAATAAAACCCTGTTGAGAACAATAGAAATCCGCACAAATTTGAACTAAGGCTAATTGTACATATATAGGGTTGCCTCGTTCTTTCAAAAACACGCTTCGTATTAGTAAACTGCAGTAGCAAACGCGTCAACGCATTACTATACAATCTTGGACAACGTCAAAAATTGTGTATTTATACGTTTCACATGCATACATGCTTATATTCGCGTTGACATTTTAGGCACTTCCGGACAGGAAACTACAAATTATAACAGTTATAACTTGCACTAGCGGGCTGAAACGCAGCCATGCTATGTCAATGACAAATACATGCATAAGCCAGTAGGGTTCTTGTTTTAATCTTGGGAACTTTATACTAAATGTAGCAATTTATTGCATTATTACCTTTTACTGCTTCAAATTCGGCCGGAAACTACAATGACAAATAAAAAACAGCAGGTATCTCAGTGTAAAGTAAAACTCTAGGAAGATCATGTGCGTAATCTTTTCAGGGTTTTCAAACGAATTTAACTCCCAATTACAAAATGCAAATTTCAATATACAGTACAAAATATATTTCAAACTCCTCGAAAATATAATATATAAAAATGTTTGACACGTACAGTGTGGCTATATATACTGAGCACGGAACTGAACATCTATACATGCATGGACTGTAATAAGAATTAATATAATACAAAACATAATCCGAAGATAAGCATCTTGAAACCCAAAATATGAGTCAAACAAGAAAGCGAGTGAGTAATATTTCGATTTTACTACAAAATCATCATCAGACTAACTAAAGTTACAATATACACATGGTCTTATATACAAGTTGGCAAGGCATGATGACAGCTTAACGGAAGTCTCAATCAGAACCACGAGAGTTGCAGTGAGATGTAAGTGTGATGAAATGTGGGTGTATAGATTAAGAAAAAAGCTTGAGTTCTTTGCTGGCTTTGAGTCCAGTGTTTAAACTGGATGAATGATACTTGATATATAGAGCTTCAAGCAACAAGAGTAAGTTAGGTGTGCGAGAATAAATAGTGTGAAGAATTCAAGAGTTGTCAAATATTAAGTTGGTAATAAAAGTGGAAACGTTATTGTCAGCGTCAGTTGGGTTGTGAAGTTTGTCAAAAACAAAGTGTAGGTTTACAATGTATTGCACATGTTCGCAGTTGTGAAAATGCTGTCCAATAGCACTTTTGGTCGGATTGGTATGTTCAGCGAGTCGCGTCTGTAAACGTCTTTCTGTTTTCCCAATATACGTTGCGGAACAGCCAGGACATGTCACCTCATAAAGTACATTAGATTTCGAAAGATTCGGAATTTTGTCTTTGTTGGAAAGGAAATAAGAAAACTTTTTGTTGTCATAAACAACTATAAAATTTACAGGAATAGTTAGGCATCTTTGTATTTTCTTTATGCAACTTTTAACTAAAGTTTCACCTTGTTTACCAAGGTATGGAACGCGAACCCAAACCTTAGGCCTAGTGTCGTTTTCATCAAAAAAGTTAGTGCGAGGTCGATCCGCAGAAAATTTGTTTTTTATTTTAGATATCAATAAATTCCTGATCGCACGAGGAAAGCCATTCCAAGACATAAACATTTTAAGCTTCCAAACATGCTTATCAAATAGTTGACTGGTACTGCATAATTTTGATGCTCGGTGAAACAAAGATTTGACCCACGCAGTTTTACGTGAAATGGTTCAAAACTAGAAAAATGCGTGTATTGTCCAGTGTGCGTACTTTTGTAGTAAACATCAGTGTTATCCGACGAAGTCAAAATGTCCAAAAAATGAATTACATTATCCGGAAAGGTATCAACTGTAAATTGGAGATTTTTGTCAAAACTATTAAATTTGTCAAGGAGGAATATCCGAAGGTTTTATAAGCACTAGAGTATTATCAACGTATCTTCGGTAAAACCTTATGACACCAGATTTAATTAGATCCGAAACAATAAGTTTTTCAAATTCCGAAAGAATGATGTTAGCTAGCACAGGCCCCAGTGCAGACCCCATAGAAACGCCGTCAGTTTGCTCAAAAAGTTGATTATTAAATGAGAACGCGGTTTTAGTACACGAATCAAGAATTAGTTTTTTCAAAGTTCGTTTCAAAAAAGTTGTGGTAATCAATTTTTCTTAAAAAACGCGTTCAAGAAAGTTAAGCTGTCATCATGCCTTGCCAACTTGTATATAAGACCATGTGTATATTGTAACTTTAGTTAGTCTGATGATGATTTTGTAATGAAATCGAAATATTACTCACTCACTTTCTTGTTTGACTCATATTTTGGGTTTCAAGATGCTTATCTTCGGATTATGTTTTGTATTATATTTTTTGAAATTGTCGGCTGGTATTGGTTTTCTGTAATAAGAGCCTGCGGAGTGCGGTGCATACAGCGCCTCCGATGCGCTCAATTATGCGACGACTAAAAACTATAAACAGAACAAAACGACGAATATATTTTACGTATAATTACATCATTTT